ATTTAGTATAATAACTGTAATTGCTTTAATAACATGAAAAAAAGACACCTTTATGGGACCAACAATCAAAGACTGAAATTGTAACACAGAATGACAGGTGTGGAGGCACGCCACCATTACCGATTTTCCCATTTCAGTATTTCTTTCATCATCTTGAAAAGTGCTTATCTCAGTAAGCCAGGCATGGCTGGCTTGTGGCTCCTGAGCTCCATGCAGTTAGTGACAAGCTAGGTGGGGCTCCCACAGCTGGGGCATGTTGCCGTTGAGCTGAGCAGCTGCTGGGCATTTGAGCCCCTCTCCAGAGGAAGATGTGGGTTGGCATGACCTGATGAGGCAGAGTTGCTATCAGTGCCTCTCAGACTGGCACCTCCTCTCAGCTCTCTGCTGGACATACTAAATATCTTACACCCTACAGGTCATAGGTTCAGGCAGATGGCTATCCCTGCTTCTCATCAGAGAGACAGAGGTTTCAGTGCCATTTGGAATGGTGGCTTGTATCTCCAATTACACTAAGCTAACCTTCTGTGCCCCTCTTGCTGAACTGGACAATGTCTATGCTTGGCAACTTTTTCTGGTTTAATTCTAAGATTAGAATATGAGAATATATTTTCAGCATCAGTCAGCTGGACCAGGATATGCTTGATCTTGGCTTTCAGCTATACTCAAACCCATTGGCTAACAGTTACATTTTCTAGTTAATATTTGCACTGTAATGTGTAATTTTAATCATAAAATAAAACCTCAGAGTTTTACAGTCCTCCTGTAATAGCCCCTGCTTTACCAAAAGATAAACCCTTTCAAAACCTTACATGCAGGCAGGAATTAAAAAGATCAATTCAGAAACTGGAAACATACATTAGTAGTGACCACCTCCTTCAGGATTTAATCGGGTTAGATGTAAAGTGGTTTTCACAAATGAAGTGCTTGAGAACATGCTAATCACCAGTATCCAGGTACTAAGAAATGACAAGCTTAAAAGAAGAAACAGTTCTTCTTCCATATGAGTTGACCCAAACCTGAAGACAAAATTGCCTGCTGAATCTCTCACAAACAACCAGAAGACTTAACCATCCCAAAGCAGTGTTGTGGGAGATTTCTCCTCATACAACCCTGCATGCATTTTCTTTACTGTCTTGGTCACCAAGACATCTACATATGAAAATACAACATATTGTTTGACCTTGATATTAAAATTATTCGGAGATCAAAAGCAAGTGCTAAGAATAGGCAAGATAGTTATATAGCCCATAATAGTAAACTCCTGTATTACTGGCACCTCTCAATAGAGACAGGCCTGAACTGAAAGCTCAGGTCTGCACATCATATCAAGAGAAAACAAACAAAAAGCTGAATTTCTGTCTCGGGTCTCAGGGGGTTACCAGGAATGTTGCTGGTTCTTCTGGTGCTTGAGTGTTTGGTCCTCTTCATACTACAGGAAAAATAGAGGGACGAAAAAAGCTCTCTTTAGTCTGCAAGTGAGCACTAAAGTCAGCTTGCCATGTGAATGAGAGAACCCCAAGGAACAAAATCCCAGCAACGTGCTATCTTTGGGTAAACATTTGTTTGCAATATCTTTTTAAAATAATACTGTCGACATCAGTGATTGACGATTTCACCCCATTTATCACTGACAACTAGAATTATTTTTTCAGCTGTGGATCATGCTAATTGTGGAAGCTAATAGGGAGGAATGTGAAGTAAATGGTCTCAATACCTTTAGTATATGTGATGACTTTACCAGACTTGCAGTACTGTATTTACTGTAACCAAAAGGTCATACTCTATATTTTAAATGTAAACAGTGAGCTTTTCTGCATCAGTCACACTCCTGGAAATTATGCACAAAAATATTTTTAGAAAAGGTAATTAGCATTTTTTTATTTTTTAATTATTACTATAATTAACCTTAGTTTTAGATATTTGAAGGAAGGCTTTGAACTGTAACTGACACACATGTGTAAGCCAGAGAGGATTACTACCATCTCATTGGCAAAAAAGGCAATTTTAAAAAGATGGACTAAGGCTCTTATAATTCACATTATTGACACTGAGTGCTCATTTCTTCTGTGTAGCACGGTAAATATTGAGGCAATAATGAGATGGAGTTGTTCATTCCACTGTTAAATAAAAAAAAAAGGCAATTTCCCAGATACTGCAGTTTAATCAGTGTTGATTTTAAATGGTACAACCCCATTCACATCTTGAATCTCTAGGTCTTTCAAAGACACCATACATGGGAATGCTATAATAAAATAATTCAGATGTAGTTTTGCAAACAGGAATTTGTTGTTATAAGCATTAAAAATACACGACTTTATACTGGCATGAACTGAGTCTTTGAAAGGTATTCAATAATACTGTAATTTGGGTGTGTACACTCCCCTGAGCATATGCTATTAGAACATGATAGCACAGCAAGCTTATTATCAAATGTACATGAAGCTCATTTCAAAAAATAGCAAGACTTGTATTAGTGGAAAATGGATACGTGCTTTCTAGTAAATGAAATAAAGTGACACAGGACAGAAAATGATATTTTAGCATGTGCTACAGAATGCAGAACAGATTAATTTCTATATAAGAATTTTTTAGTGTCAACACACAACAGGAATTGTTGCTGTAAGGGGACTGTGTCAAAGTTGACAGGCCGAAAATGTAACCTACCATAAAATAAAACTTTTTATGAAATGCCCTTTTGATCCTGAAAAATCTATCAATGTTCCAAATCCAAAACTCTCACATTGCTAAAATACCAACTACTTTGTTGTGTGATATGCTATTAAACTTAGTTTGGTTTTGCAACATGTATATGCAAATCACTATTATGCTCTCTTCTCCACAGTCTTTGGGACTACACGTTTAAACAGTACTAGGTCTTTTGTTTAAGATTTCCATGATTTAGCATTTCAGTTAGCAGTAATTTATAACAAAGCTATAATATGAGGCTTCTGTACTCCAATTGTAAATGTCTTCTTAGAAAGAGGGCAGTTCTTCATATGTGGAAATTGCCAAACCACAAAAAGATTTATTTTTGTCTTATTTTACTTAATACATGCAAATACTTTCCAATGCATATTGAAATGCAATAAACTGTAGCTACATGGCATAGTAACAAAAATGAACAACAGCATTTCACTCTTTCAAGGTGACAGATAAAAAAGAAGTGCTATGACTTCTGAGTTTATTTTTTGTCAGTTTTAGTTCACAATCTAATAGTGAGAATTGAGAATTAATTGTGAATGGCTTTCCTTATACTACACACAATTCATGCCTCTTAATTATTAGCATGTGGACAGGTTCTGAAATATATGTATAGATTCTTCATGTGTGAGGAAATGTATCCCAGAAATTAACAGTGCAACTTTTCATTACAAATATGGTCTTTACCAAACCCAGGCTATTTTCAGGCAATGACTCCCTCTATTTTTGTAATAGTATTATGGCTGGGCATAGATCATGTCATTCCATGTCTTCACTGCCTCAACTCTTAGTTTTCTGTAATCATTCCAAATCACCACAGGACACTTTGCTGAAGACTTTTGTTGGGTTTACTGTAAACCTGACAACTAGATGATTGGAGTATCTATCTTCCATTCTCCCTGTCTTATCACCACAGATAACTGGAGCTGCACAGAATAGTCACATTTGGGTATCTGTCTTTTTTAGACAGTTTCTGTGACTAAAAAATTAAAGTATATTTAAGACATCATAAATAGTAGTGCTGATTGTGTTTGATGCACACACACTCCACTAACAAGGTTGTCCTAAATATATTCCATCAAACCCCACCAGAATACTACCAAATGTAACATTTTCTTACGAAAACTGGTGAATGAACAAGCAGTATGTACAGCATACTTCAGCTTCTCTAAATACAGCTGTGATAAAAGCTGAAATACATTATAAGCAGCTAGTATTAAGCATAAATGTTTCAGAACTGAGACCTGAAATTAAACCTGATCTTCAGTCCGACCTACACAATCAAGTTAGTCACTTCACCCAAGAGGGCTGAGGATTGACAATGGTAATGATCTTTTTCAGTCTCTTCAGCTAGCAGAATTCAGCAGCCTTACTTGATTTCAGGGTTCTTTTCAAGTCAGATATGGTATGTTTTTTGTTTTCACATAGAATGTGGGACTCTTTCTCATGTTAACCTAGGCCCTGGATGACTAACCCTATAGCTGACACAAACAGATGTTTTTATTTGTTTGAACTATTTAGGTCAAAGGGCTAATGAGCTAATGAGAATTCTTTCAAGAGCTATCAAATGAGGCATGATTAGCAGATTTTTAGTTCCTACTTACATGAAACAAAATAATTGAAAAAAAATATTCTGAGTATACAAATCTTCCATTTCTATCCTAGACTTGGCAAGAGGCAGATTTAAAAATAATAAAATGAAAAAAGCATACCTCAGTAGCTGAATCAGCAACTCCAGTCTGGCTCAGCAGTCCTGTACTTCCATCAGCAGCTACAATTTGCGTTGTTAGAGTCTCTTCTACTCAAATAATGTTTGCTGGGATAACACTGAGCTGTCTCAGCAAGCTTTTATTTTTCCCATTGTATTTTCCTTTGCTCAACTTCTGTAGCTTTCTTTTTTTTCTGGTGCATATACTTTTCTATGTCACTTTATTAAACATTAATTTCTAGTCATATAAGTGTGTCCCTCAGGTTAACATTATAGAGTAATTGCATAAAAATCATTCCAATCTTTGTTTGAGCTAAACCTGCAGTATCTTTTAGATCAATTTCCAGAGGAACAACATCTTGCTGTGGACATAAATCAGCTAATTTTTGGAAGTTTCTATTTTATATATATATGTGTGTGTGTGTGTGTGTGTAAATGTGTAATTATGTATAATTTAGCAGTGATTATACAGTAATTTTTTTTTCATCTAGGAGTAAATAATTTATCTTCAAGACTCCAAGGTAATACACCATATTCACAAACTGGCTATTACTCAAGAAATCCAAACTTAGCAAGTCAACTCTACACAGTGTTTATTTTCTTTTTTTTTTCTTTTTTTTTTTGGATAGTGGAAATCATGTATAAATCACAAACAGTACAACTTCCCCATGTCAGCAGTTGCCACTTGAATGGCTCAGCTTCCATGTATAGACACTGTATTTTTAGTATAAAGTCAAGATAATATGGCTGTTAACTAATACTTTTGACTACAGTAAAGATACAAACTTTTGTAATATAAATTAATTGCCATTACAAAAAGGCAACTCTATTAGCTAATACAGTACAAAAATCTGCAACTTCTATAAATATAATGAAATGCGAGAAGTTAACTGAAATAATACATCACAGATTTTTGTATAGCGCATTTGAAGAAGCAAGCTGAGATACACATGGAGCATTATACAGCAAGAAAGAATATCAAAACCCACTAAGATTTAACTTTTTTCCATACAAATGCAAGAAGTACAAGTACAGGACACGACATGGAAGCAGTAAGATTACTAGCTCAAAGTGGGTAGACAAAGAGTTCTTACTGACAAGTTGTAAAGTATTAGGCAGCAGACAGAAGCTTGTCAAAACCAGCTGTTGTTGGATACTGATTGATAATGTTTTCATTCTGACGGCTGAGACACTGCAGACAGCCACAGGTCTGAAAAGAAGCCCAATGTGGGCACATACACATACACACACACACACATACATACAGAAATTAGTTTAACAGATGGCTAAAGAAGATTAAAGCACAGTATCTTTTTTAAAAAGACAATGTTCACTCTTCAGTGAACTTGCATGGAAAGTAGAGTCTAGTGCCCAAGTTTATTTCACCTAAATGATGAACACATGTGAAAAGATTAAAAGAAACAATTAAGACTGGTGAAGGACAGAAGGACAGGGAAGTGTGACTTGAGCTGCTACGAGCATTTTTAATTCCTCCATAAAAAGGTGAAGGTGTTTGCAGATGTTAAGGTTCACATCCATTAAGTCCATCCACAACACAAAACCACAGAACTACACTCAAAGTAAAGTGAAGTGTTGGTCTTAGCCTTATGCAGTTATGAGGTATTGCTTCAGCCTGTGGTGAGGAATGATCACTGTAAGAAAAGGCATACTCAAAATAATTGGAAAAAAAACCCAAAAACAACTGCTCCTGTGCAGTTGGTATTTTCCTAGAGAAAAAGCATTAAACATCCAAAGGTCCTGGTCTAAGTGGCCACTGACATATGCCAAAGCCATATCCTCATTGACTATTTGGACCTTTTGCAGGATAGTCATGTAGCACCTTCCAACAGTGCATAGTTGGGAAATCATAACCAAAATATAACTCAGAAGCTCTTAAGTTTTTTGGATCAGTCTCACTGATGGTACAAGTATGGTTTTAAGAATGCAAACCAGTTGGACTTATTTTCATTTGCTGTACCTTTTGGTCCATAACTTCAACATGGGAAAGAAAGGGAAAATCAGTAAAAAGAAAAATATCTTTTAACTAGTGCTCAATGAAAAAGCAGTAAAAGCATTAAATCACTCCTTTTTCCCTGCCCAGACTGCCTGCCTTCTCTGGGAAATAATTCCCTCACTCCTCCCCACATTTATTTGTCATTGTCCCTAAACAGGACAGAAATCTGGGGACCTTTATGGACATGTGGGGATGCTGTAGCCTCTGAGCTCATGTCAGATAAGAGAGAGTCTGGAACTGTAAATTGGACGCAATTCCTCTTTAAATCCAGGGAAATGAATCTCCTTAACCCATACAATGGAAATTGATGGGCAGCTGGGTTCCACCTAAATTGATCAGAGAGAACTGAACCAACAGAGGGCTCCTCTCTGTGTTTCAAAATTAACACTTCCAGTTCTTGATATTTCCAAAAGTATTAGGAGCGAAGCAATGGACCTGGCAGAAAAAAGAAGAAACACAAAAGAAGAAGGGATGCCCTTCACGTTTTCTGCCTATTCTATCTTAAAATTAAACAAGGAGCTTAACAGTTTTCTTTCTGATAATAGGAAGCAATCTGAAACAGTGATCATCAGGCCATGCATTTGGGCAAAAATAATTCTGACTGAGCAATGCAAGAAGTTCATGGAAGTTGAAAAGTAAACAAAAAACCTATTAAAAACATCTTGTTTAATAAAGAGTGTAATTGCAAGTAACAGAGAAATGGCTTTTATAAGCCTTTAAAAGCTATTTTTTTATTCCCAAATAAACTACTGAGAAACTACAATAAACTTCAAACTTACTTAAAAAAATAAACAGAGTGGAAAGATGTTACTTAATGCCCTGAAAAAAGGAGTTATGAGTTTTAAAACACCAGCAGAATTGATAAAGAACCACTGACAAGACACATCACTACAGTTTGAGTTTGCAGATGCTCATGCATGAGGGTAGCTAAATGCACAAGGCACAACATTTAAGGTGTGCACCAGTCCAGTGACTGATCTGCAGATACCCTGTTATGACTGACTTAATGGTGAGCCATTAAGTGACTTGGCATGTTTCTTTAATGGGCAAAATCACCTTATAAGGTTTTAAAATATCAAGAAAAGGCAGTCAAAAAACCTGCAAATCTACAACTGGGAAAACTTGGAAAGAGGACATACACACTGTGTTACTGGAACCAAATGATTTTTTTCCAAATGTATTTCAAATGTTTCCAATGAATACCTTTTTGTCTTCTAAGTAACATCAAGCCCAGAGGAAGTTCAAAAGAACATGTTATAATCCCCTGAAAAGAGAAGCTTATAGTACAAACACTGGAAGGCCCTTAACTATGGTATAGATGCCTTGGCAATGTTACAATAACAGTAGCAGTCTGTAAGTGACCGATATAGGAAGAAATACGTATTCAACATCAGTCACTCTAACTAGAGATCAGTTCTCCACAGCTGAATTGACATTTGCTTTCTTCTGTTATGCAAAACTACTTTCAATGAAAATTTTTACTTTATCCAACTGTTGTATATTTCTGAAAATTTTATTACTCAGACCACCTGTTTATGTTACATATTTTTGCCAAGTACTATTATCCCCATACATCTCTTTGATAATTTATGTTTTAGGAAGCTTTCAGCAAAGCAGCGGCTCTGCCTTTGACAAGGTTATGCTGTGACTTCAGAAGAGGAATCAACAAACTTGTCAACTGTGTTTTCACCTAGTAAAACCTCAAGACTAACCTTTGCATTTTATGAAACTCCTTGCCTTTAAGGTGTCCTTCTAAAGGTCTCAAGTGGCTGTGCTTTTCCATACTGCAGAATCACAGTAAACAGGCTAATACAAACTACTCTCACAAATCCTTAAGACATTAGTTATATTTTAAAAGCCAAGGTAGCATGTAGAATTCCTCCTTTACAGACTATTTTATTTTTGTGCGTGTAAAATTTCCTATCAAGGATGATCACAATGCAAGAAAGCAACATGCTGTGTGCAGAAATAGTGGTAAACAAAGAGGAACTCCCTATTTCAGTAGTAGACAACTTTACTGGAACTAGTTGTGTACCTGATTCACAGAGTATTTATTTTAACAAAAGGACATTCTGCACTAACTCTGTATGAAAAAGATATCACAGCCATCTCTTGATACCACATCATAATTAAGCTGTGAGCAGAATGTTCAGGTACAGTGATGCCTGGAGAATCGCTCTTCTCTCTTGGGTTTCACATTCTTGAAGGTTCGAAATCTCTCTCTTCTAGCAAGTTTATTAGAAGGGAGAAGCTGTCTTTTACTGCTTCCATATCATCCAAGGAGCAGGGTTTAAGGATCCAGCGCTTTCCACGTGCAAGTGGCTCAAGTTCAAAATATTTTTTAATCTATTAAGAAAAGAGATCAATGCATTAATATTGTAATGACAACCCTCTGTCTGTCATCTAAAAAACCCCAAACAACCCAAACCCAATAAATAAATAAATAAATAAATAAAACCCATGTAAAAAGATCAGGATACTCATTTTTAGAATCTTACCCACAGCTGTTCTTACAATACAGGTTATATGACATGACCTGAAAGTGTTTTCTTTAGGGGTGAGTGACCTGCTTGGAAGCTACCATTCTACCCATACACTTAACAGCATGGGAGGTCTGAGGGGAGAATTGTACACAGCAAAGCCCATGAAACAAGTGTTCAAAAACATAGCCAAAATAGCAAAAGTAACTATAAAATTTTAGGTTATGTTTGTAGTTTAATGCCAAAGCTGTATGTTTCATCATACTTTAACTGGCAAACACTTGAGATGCAGAATTTGTCACCAGATCAAGTACAAAAATTAACTGTCAGAAATGTACAAATCCTGAACATTCCAGTCAAAGGTGAGCTATAGGAAAAGGCTTCCTAATGAGTACTCGAGAAATAATGAACACCGGAGAATAAAAAGTCTTCCAAAATCAGTTAGTTTTTCTAAAATTAAACATAGAAGAATAGCACGCTATTCTTGGTTCTTCGTGATTAGGATAGTAATAAGTACTATATGTGAGACACAACGATTTTGTGCAATCACCTTAGTAGAAAATCCAGCACATTCTAGCAGACTTCAGCTACTTACTAACAATACCTAATAATGCCTATAAAGAATGACATCTTTTAATGAATCTAATTCCATTTGTATTTCTGCAGCAACCATGCAGCAAGGAGGCATAAGAATATGCTATAATATAGTATTGCAAATTTTAAGGTGATTATAAGCCTTAATGAAATAACTGAGTAAGATGCAGTTTCTTGGAAAAGACCAGTCATCACTGATGCTAATTACACCGTCAAGGTAGAAACACAGATCCACAGAAATACTAAGAAAGAAATTATTTTCATTTAGCAGTATACTCCAATCACTTTTCAAATTAACAATATGAAAACTTTTTTTTTTTATGCTTCTTTGGAGAAGACAGCAGTCTGCAGGTTATTTTGGCCCATAGATTACTGTTTTCATCAAAGTTTTTGTCTCTCATAGTATTTGATCTGATACTGGTTTATCCAAAAGTCTACTCATGTTTGAATTTTCAAAATAGACATTTAGTTTTTACATCCAAAATTATATCCACCAGTACTTGCTATTGTCAGCATACCAACAGAAATATTTAGTCCTGACTTAGTTTGCATATTCCTGTTCCTTGTAATTATTGCCAAATATTCCTAATTTTCTTTTATTACAGACTGTGCCACAAATACGCGCAATAACAGGAACAGTCACTCGTATTATGGTAGGCAGTAGAGGCCCTAGATAGGCAACTGGAGCCACGCTGTATAAGGTTCCATGTGTATGGGGAATAAAAAAACGAAAGAAAGCAAAAAACCAGCTTCCAAAGCGCAAACAAGCTGTAAGATCTATATGCAGCTCCTACAGTGTCTATACAACAGTTTTGTCTATCTAGTAATGTATTCTAATAAAAGAAACCAACTGCAGTTGAATCAACTCACATTAATCAGAATTCAACCATGACAATGTGGCAGGAAGGGTTTATTTTTTAGAAAAGAATTTTGCGCAGATGATTTAGTAACAAGTATCAAAAAAAAATGGTGGTTTTGAGATGAGAACTTCTGCTTCCCCAGATAAGATGAGATGAAACCTTTTAAAATCTATTTCCAACAAAGCAGAATTATAGCTGTAACAACCTGCAAACATTTGAAAATGAAGCACAGCACCTGACATTCAGAAAACATTCAGACATTTCAGAAAACATACAAGTTGAAATAAACACAACTTCAACAACCAGTATTTTAATATCAGCAAACCTACTTTTTAGCATTGCTATCTCAGTGCCACATTAGTATCTGATGTGCTAGCATGGTTATATGTGATAAGAACCTAAATACTGATCTCTATAAGGATACGCTGCAATGTCTCCAGCAGCTGAAGTGACACCAAATTGAGTTTACTCTCATTAACATATTGAATTAGTGGCACTGATCATAGTATTGGAGAAGCAGCATAAGAAAGCTCTCTTGCCTTCTTCAGCAACAGCCTCCTTAACTGCTAAATAAGGGGAGGAAGTAAAAGCTGCACAGAAGCATAACAAAGCAAGGTGTCAGTGGAGCTAGCTGATAGAGCAGCCTGCTGGTGTTAAGCTGACAAATATGGCAGAGTAATTTGAAATGTTTCACACCCACAACACAGAGGATGTCCACCACACCCCCCCTACTGGAAGACTACTGCCATCAGCCCCTTAAACTCACTGAAGTCTGTCCACATTCGTATTTACGTAGCCTCTTCATAAGGCTATACCATATGAAGAAATTATTAGAAAAAGGTCGTTATACTGTAGGAAGAGTACTTGAATTTAAAAGCATGAAATAACCTAGTAACACATACATATGGAAATGATGGGAGTAAGCAGACTAGCACTGAGTCTTATGTGTTTCTGGGCAAATATGACATTGCTTACCGAGGTAGCCTCCAGCCAAGAAAAACACAATGACTTCAAGGTGTATTTCAGTGACTGAAGATGCCAAGATAGAATTTCTATTTCAGCAGTGAAACAGCATAGATTGATTTAGTGAATCAAATTTTATAGGTAAGTTATTTAACACTCAATGTTGATTAAAATTTATTATTTCCTATTTCTAGGTGTGTAATCAAAATGTAACAAAATCAGCAATATGCTGTCATCATTTTCAACACCTGAGGAACAGTTTAGAGTATCTGCATTAACAGGCGTTAGATAAATGTTGAAATTAAACTGATCATTTAGCAGTGGCTTTTGAAATGGGAAGCTTTGATAATGGCATGAAAGCAGAACTGCTTATATTCACATAAGTAGCAGCTAAATATAGTAAATAATACTAATTGGCTTACAAATAATAAAGAACTAAACCAGAACTAGCACAGAAGTGACTTTCCACAATCCAAGGGACACTAAGTGGTATATTACTGTATTTCCTCATTTAAATTTCACATCACAATGGAATTTGCTAAAGTCCAGAGCTTTGCAAGCGGGCTCTACAACTTTGAAGCTTCTAGAAAAAAATGTGCAGACACAAATATTTTCCAATTTACTGTAATTTCTCCCCCCTTTAACTCAGAAGATGTCATTCAGTTCTAAGAAACATGTGACATTTTTTAGACTTAAAAAAGTAACCATTTTTTTACATGCAAGAGATGAAAACAACTACACAAGGATAGTCTGACACTATCAGATGCCCAACACTGTTTACACAGTTGAGTTTTCCACTGGAATGTTCTCAGCTCTTCATGTGCTTTCTTTTCTCTACTTGCTTCGATGACCATCATTTACCCCTAGCAGATTTCCTAAGAGGATGCACGCTAACCACAAAATATCCAAAGGAAGCTGAAATTCTCTGAATACACAGTCTCCTAGGTAGTTCTTGCATAATTACGATAATCAGCAGTAACTATATTACACTTCAACTGCACTAGCACAAAAGGGGTGTGTTCCTAAGAAGCTCTTTTGTCTTCTCCTTTTGCATAAATGGTAAAAAGCTTTCTGCCTGTTCATGGATGCCAAAGAGAAATACAAAGATTCAAACATGTTTCAGATGTCTGACACATTAGACTTGCATTTACTACACTGGCTTTGCCAGTGTTTATTTTGGGATTGCTAATTTTTTAAGATACACGTTTAGAATAAACACAATCAATTAAATCCACATAATGTTAAGACTTCTTTACTACTATTTTACAGGCTCTCACTGTATGTCTTGACTCCACATGGGGGCCTTGTTTTATAGAGAAGCTGACATTGTATCTATGCCACATTCTAAAGTCAATAAAGTCTAACAATACACATTTGCAATTATTCCCACTCTTCCCACACTCCACCTTTTAAGTCCTATTCTACTGGCAGAATACACTAAGCATATGGTTATCAAATGTTGCTTAACCTACGTGCTAAAGAAGTCAAGACACAATAAAAGGATTGGTGCCCAGAACCTCAGCTGGTGTGAATTAGCATAGCAGCATGGAACTGATGTTACTATTGACATACGTAAACTGAGTAACCAGACCCTGCTGAAAACTGTTATATGTCCTATTTCTGAACCTCATCTAGCCAGTTCACAAACACATGAACATAAAATCTATTGGAAAACCTATATACTGTCATACATGAATACAGAGTCATTTCCACTACTCAACACGAAAAAAAAAAGCTGACTGGAAGTATTATTTTTCATTCAGATTCAAAATTTTAATACCAAATTTCAGCAACACAAAAAGGCTTTCAACCCACTCTGATTAATCACTGTAATCAAATATAAAATTCAGGTAGTCACTTACATTGCCAAGCTGCATTTCAAGAACTGAATGGATAAAATATTTTTTCATTCATTGTTGTTTTACTGGCAAAGAAAAATATTTGTAACAACACGTGTATATTATATCTCACTAAAGGTTGCACAGTCATGTCAGCATCCCCACTAGTCTAAATTTTTAGAGGATTAAGCAAGTACTACTGCAAGAAGGTGACTGGTGGAGGTATGAGTTAAACTGAAATTACTCAAATTGCATGTATTAACAACAAGAAATGGTTCATTCATCTATCACAAATCCGCATGGACAAGAAATGTAGTAATAATGGGAGACTGGGATTCCCCATATTAGCACTGCATAAGTTTCACTGAGATATGACACTGAGATTACTTTTTCAGACATCGTAAAAACCTGCCTTTTAGAGTAATTGTTCGGAAGATGCAGGAGAGTGAAGCTGTTTTGATTGCTGACTCCATGAACAACAGACAAGCTGCCTATAACAGTGACCAAAGCATGAGCAAATTAAGTATCTTTGGAGAAGAGAAAAAGCCAAAAGTCCATCACATATCATTAAGTTTTAAAAAGGGAAACTACATAAAATGAGTAACTTAAAG